CCAGATGCAGCTGGTTATTCAGCATCCAACCAGTAGCATATAAAAATCCACCAGATTAACTGTCCTGTTTAAACATCACGCAGCTCAAAAAGACACGAAGCCAACAAATGGAGCAGAAGCCTCAGTGTTTCTTAAGTACACTCTGGTTTGAGATAATGAGTTATTTCTCATCAGAATTTGTCCATCACGATGTGTCACTACAGCAAAACTGTTCCAGGCCGCTGTGTCCCCAGAAGGTTCTGAGACAGTGAAACACTGTGGAAAACCAGACAAGAACAGGAAGTGAAGCAGAGACAGGTAATTTAAAAGTATAACAGGAAACAACTGACCTGAAATCCAAAAACAGATTGATTCAGAACCAGTTATTATATTCAGGACAGCTGCATGGATCCAGATAACCACCCTCTTGTGCACCTATAATGACATGATTATGTTGCAGAAATCAACCAGTTAGAGGCTGTTTAAAGACACATCGGCCTTCTGTGGCTCACAGTGCAATCATTTGGTAGCTTTCAGTGTTGTTTGCAGGTCTTATGTTATGAGTAAACAACCACCTCCACCAACATTTCGTGAAAGTGTAAAGATGCATTCCAAAAACACTGACTGACCTAAAAGAGAGCAAAAGAAAAGCAAGATCCAGGGTTTCTCTTTAGTGCCAGGGCGCTGAGGAGGAGATTCATTGTTGAAGAGTCAGAGAAACCAATTTATACACTCACAACAACCGGAAAGTAGAACAGAATGCAATTCAGCTCCACAGAGCTTTTTATTTTCCTGACTGTCTGGCTCTTATTGTGTTGTTCCTATCACTCTCTCCGTCTGCACTCTCCGCAGGCATGCAATATACAGTAGGATGAGAAGGGAACACCAAATGAAGTAGAAGTGCATTGTGGGGCTGATGTTTGAACTGTTCTATGGCTATATTGGTCTTTTATTACCTTCTTTGTGAGCACGATGACGCAAAAACTACAGACAGGATTACCAGGAAACTGGGAAGGAACATTTTGGTGTGGATTCAGATCAGGGGACGGATCCAGGATTTCCCGTGATTTCTCACGGAGTAGTTTATGGATCTTGATGAAAAAGACATTTTAATCCCACCTTCTAATGTGTACTATCACAGATTAGTAGCTACTTCACAGACACTACACACACTTTTCAGTATGTACCTGCATGTGTTAGTTTTTTTGAGAGCCAAAATCTTCCCTGCTTAAGCTTTTAAAATTAGGACGATGGACTGCAAAACATGATACTCCTCTGTCTCCTTGGCAACAGTATCAGGGATGACTCCTCCACATACAGACAAACACACACACTCACGGTTCAGCCCTCTTACAGTCTGAGGTGTGAGAATATGTGAGATGTAGGCCTATTTACCTCCCACCTGACGAGTAAAGTGAGGGAGTGGAAAGTTCTTTTGCTGCATTTGACACAATAATGTTTAATTGAATGAATAAAGGCTACCTCTGAATTGAATTAATCTTCTCCTCTATCTTTCCATCCATTCAACCATCCGTCCATCCATCTCTCTATATATCTATTGTGTGTTAACTTGAATTTGAGCTGATCTCTGTTGCCAGTCTTTGTTAATCCTGACTTGATCTTTTGAAAACTGCGGCTGGAGCTGACTTGATCGAGTCGGGGGAGAGAAAACTAAACAAGTCTAAACTGAACCCAATGTTTTTTTCCCTGATAACAGGCATGTGCGGTATTAAAGAAAAAGCAGATAGCTAAACCAACGTGTCCGAATCCAACCTGAGCCCAAATATACTTTGAAAATTATTGTCTGAACCCGGTCCGTCTTGCCAGGACCCCAATTTATGATCATGGTTTTATCAAATGGTAATCTGTTAATCCGTGCAGATTAATGATATGTCAACATTCGGCAAAAGACAAAGAAGCAGCCTGTCATCTCCCTCCCCTCTGTTCTGTAGAGTTTTCAATCAGCTCCGTGTCTCTCAGATGTGAAATGGACACGGTGAGCTGTGAAAACTCGCCTCCCTGGACACACATCACAGGAGAAAACCACAGAAACCTGTCAGAAATATGGCTCCTGTCCCTTCTCGCCCTCTCTCTCTATGTCTCTCTTTCGTTCCTCTTTTTTACTTTTCTTAGAAATACACATTGCTATATCTTCTCATTCCTGACAGAACATTGTAACCGAGTGAACAATGAGTAGGAGGGTAGGTTGTGTCGTTGTCCAGTGATGATGATGGTGTGTGTGTGTGCGTCCGTAAGAGAGAGAGAGAGATGATAATTACATATTTTAAGATGCAGTAATCAGTCATTTTTCATTGTGTTATTTAAAACTGGTGTTGTAATGACAAATCAAAGCTGAATCCAATTTGTGCCACATTGTTCAGCTGATTGAGATTCACCTAAGCAGCTTAATGACTTTAAAATATATTTGCCAATGCGCGTATCAGGGTTATTGTTTATGAATCACTGAATCTGCTCTTTAGACACGAACCCGATCATTGTTTAGCTGTTGGTTCACTGATCTTTTTTTTTCCTTCCAAGATAATCATGCGTTTTCAATGTTTAGGCTTTGTCTCTATTTTCTTGGTTGATCTGGTCAATGGGAATTGCTGCAGGTGAGAAATCGTAAAACATCTCTGTTGATAATCAACAAATAAAGATGGTGGTTGTGGGGAAACGTTACATCTATACGCCCAGGGGCCCTAGTATTGTTTAATCTATTCATGGTCCACATGTGCTCAGAAAAGAACATAAAGTCTTTCAGGCCCTATACAGATGGTATGTGAGCTCCTCGGCCAAGTACAACGAGGCTTTGGTGTACTCTATCAGGGTTGTGTTATCCCTCCACTATCCTCAAGAAAACGAGGATGTTGATAGAAAACACCCTGAACCTTCCTTTGTTTTGATTTCAGTTTTGGCTCGACTGTCATTGCTTAAAAAATAAAAAGTGTGACATATTTTCACAACCCAGTGTTATGTATATGTGAAAGAAACTGTATTTGCACCGTTCAGAAACTCTAGAAGCTGTCAGGGCTTCTCGGCTCTTTTTGGCTCTGGGGCCCAGCAAACAAATTAAAACCAGTCTTGCGGACCTGGGCTGTAACTGTATTAACTCCAAACTGAGATAAGTCAAACCGCTCCATGCCAAGATTCAGTCATGTGAATGATGGATGCTCACAGAACGAACAAAAGTGAACCTATACCTGGATAAAGTGATACACAGACATGACAAACTGTAAATAGCGACCTGGCTGCAGGAAGTTGGCAGCGTCACAAGTTGCCACAGTCTGTTGGGCCATGATAATGACCCTCGAGTGTGATAAGGTCAGATAGCTGTTATAAAAGTAGAGACATATGTTGTAAGAGGTCTTTAAAGCTGATAAGGCCTCGACAGTGCTGTGGTGATGAAACACTCTCTGCTGCTCCTCAGAATCAGATCTGAAGAGTCCACTCCAGTTGCTCTCACTTCCTGTTACACTGATCGAATTTGTCAAAATCCCCTCAGTTATTCTAAAAACAGAGAGAAGCAGTGTGCACTCATCTCATCTTCTGCTAATATGTTTCTATGTTTTGTAATAAATGTCCGTTTAGCTATGTGAGCTGCATGGCTCTCAGGCTGTTGGTCCACTAACTTACAAAACAATATGTATATATAAAATAAAAAATATTTCGATCAGCAAGTTGTGATAAAAGCTAAAAATAAGAAAAGCAGATGTGGCATCTGACAACAACCATCGATTTTTCTTCGGTGACACACTGAAACCAGGACTCAAGAGGGTGATGGTAAAGCACAGCGCTACAGAATCAGATCTGCTCGGCCAAAACTATAACAAAATCCAGCAACATCTTTTTTTTAGCTGTTAGAAAAAACAAAGTCATAAGAAGCTGAATACTGATCAGAATCAGAAGTTAAAAATTTGAGTGAACGTGGTCCAGGTGGACAATGACCCGGGGTTGAGGCTTTAACCTCCTTCATCTGTTTGTAGACTCCTCTTGCTACCTCAGGCTGTTGTTGGTCAAATCTATATGTTTACTTTATTTACCAGGTTAAATATGGGCTGCAAGGTCAAACAGTCTGACCTTTACAGCCGGAGAATCTCCCCCAGCCCCAGAAGTGCAGTCCAGGAGCTGGTATCTGATCTGTGATCTCTCCTATCACAGGGGAATAAGAAATGAGAATTTCACTTTTGGTTCTCACTAAAGCATGGTGATATTATTGCATTACAAAGACAAACTAACACACTGATGGAATCTGGCAGACACAGCTGCTGCCTGTTGCAGCGCATTTGCCCTATAAATATCACACACTTTCAAGCTGTGATCCAGCAGCTTATTTCAGTATTCGATTTTTGGCGTTGGATAGACAAATAATAAGACATCCAACCACTTTGTATGTGCAAGCTGGCTACTATTTTCGGAAAAGCGTAGACTTAGTGTGTGTGTGTGTGTCGACAGGGCCAGAGCATGGGGGGATGAGGACTCTCCTCTGCTGACTTCAATGCAGATGACCAGTGATGGCCACAGCATCACCTCAACAGTAAGTCAATAATTCAAACTCACTTACGTATCATTGTCCACAACGCAATAACATATGAATTCGATTTTAGCCAACTCTACAACAGAGCTACTCTTATTTAAAGTCATAATTGCATTAAGTTTTTCAAAAAGTGTGAGTTTCTAAATAACTGTGGTAGAAATTGTGGAGACCACTACTACATATTTGCAGTATCCATGGTTTATTTCAGTGAGGGACATTTGTTGATCACAAACATCACCCATCTATTTCATTCCCCTTTGTTTGTCTATACTACCCAGAACCAATAAATGCCAAATTAAAATAAATCAAACAAGCTTCTGCAAAGCAGCTCTGACACTGATCATAGATAAACACATGAACAGGAAAACATTTTGAGAAATATGATCATTAGATAAACTTTTTTGAGAGTGAGATAAGAAGATTAATGGAAAAAGTGCTGAAACAGCTAACATCATATTCCAAGAAACACTTGTTCACTACAAATCTGGCTTCATCTCATTTGTTTTAATTCTTATCCACAAACAGAAATGTGTAAATGATAAGTTGATGTTTTTAGGAGAAGGTAGGCAAGCTTCCTAGCCTTATGCTAAGCTAGGCTGATTGTCTCCTGTATATAAGGCACAGACATAAGAGTGCTGTCAATCTTCTCATTTAACTCTTATAAAGAAAGTGAATATATTGTTTGAAGAGGAGGATGCATTTGTCAGCACAACATCTGACCATGATAATGGAACTTTAACCAACCAGTTACATTTGCCAAATCCCAACCATAGCATAATCATGAGGTGACCAATCAGAAACTTCTCATAGATGCTGTTTTGGAAGGCGTAAAGAAATAGCTCCTTTCGTATGGCATGATAAAAATTCTAAATATGTAATGAATTTCAAAATACTAACTGACTAAGCTGTTTTTATATATTTATCTCACTGCAGTTTGTTGGATGACATAATAAACACGGAGCAACAACAACAACAGGAACAGCAGCAGGAATTCCTGAGCTCATTAGAGACGATCGTGCTCACCATCTTTCTCACCATCATCATTATCATGACGGTGTTTGGCAACCTGCTGGTCATGGTGGCGCTCTGCAAGGACAGACATCTACGGTGAGCCCACCGGCTTTTTATCAACTCAGACTATAAAACAGACGTGTGTTGTACTGGCAGATCTGGTCAGGCGTGAGATCAAGTTTCGAGTGACAGTGCAATAGTTTGTGGGACTTTTGGTACAAGACCTGTGCTGACAAATAGCTCAAAGATGTGACAGTGTCTGTATTGTAGGGTTTCAGGAACTAATAAAAAGAATTCAAAGCACTCACATTACAGTTTCCCCTAAAACTTATTTTCCGATCAGGTAGGTAAAATAGTATTCAAAGCAATACTACCGAAAACCACAAGCGACAGCAGCTTTAAAGTTTAGACTTATTAGATGTGATGTTATACTAAAACGTACAAATCGAAAACTGTTCCTGATAATTCTACCACAGACTTTTACGGACATGTTCGAACTTGTCTCCTCTGGTTCTCAGGAAAAAGAAAACTAACTACTTCATCGTGTCGCTGGCGTTCGCCGACTTGCTCGTGGCCCTGGTTGTGATGCCCTTTGCTGCCATTGAGTTGACCACCGGCCAGTGGCGGTACGGAGAGATTTTCTGCCTCGTCCGAACATCCCTGGACGTATTGTTAACTACAGCATCCATCCTGCACCTCTGCTGCATTGCACTCGACAGGTTTGTGAGAGACGAAGAAGGATTTGAACCGTCTTCATGGGCTTTGATGAATTACCCTTTGTTTCATAGATCACATGACACATGACAAATGCGATTGAAAACAATCATGATCCAGCATTAAAACAACTTTAATGTTAGAGTTTATGTAATATTGCTTCAAAAACTGCACATAAAAGTGTGTGTGTTTGTATAATTCCAGGTATTACGCTATCTGCTGCCAGCCACTGGTCTATAGACACAAGATGACTCCTTTGAGAGTGGCAGTAATGCTCGGCAGCTGCTGGCTCATCCCCACATTTATCTCCTTCTTACCCATCATGCAGAGCTGGAACGCCATCGGCATTGAGGACATTGTAAGTCCTTAAGATCAGGAGCCACGGAGGCGGGAAGGCAGTGAAACCGTAATGAGCTTAAAGATGTTGGTATTCTTATTAAAAAAAAAAAATTACAATCCTGCATCATCACAATATATAGTATGTTTGGACAAAGTATCCCAGTGAAGAGTTCATACATCTCCCTGAAACGCCTAAAGAGAGAGATGTTCTGTCCGTGGGGGCAAATGCAGCTGAAACCTTTCCAACCTAATATTCTCTGTTTCTAATAATGTCTCCAATCCCTCGAACAGTGACACGGTAATGCAGTGATCACAAAACAATTCCATTCTCCGTGGAGGCTCTCTCGCTGCGAGCGAAGACGGCACTTCAACAAGCATTTTCTGCTGGTTTGGATATGTTTTGGCGTGAGGTTATTTCAGAGCTGCCTTGAAATGAGCTGCAGGATTCCCAGAGGCAGAGGGCGGATAGATGAATTTATTCAGCCATGCTTAATGAAATACACGGCTCTTTCGATCAGGCCGCATCCAAACAATGATCTTTTTTTTTTAATCGCTGGCTTGAAGTCATATGTCACAGACAAAATTGCAAAGGAATTGAAATTACTTATATCTGCACATTGAGGCTAGATTTCAGTTTGTTATTTTATATGAGTAATGTTTGTTGTTCATTTTGTTTTAAAGAAATTTCAGAAAAAGTTCCAATACACTTTAGTTTTGCCCCAAAAAGGAATTGTTTGAAACGGACCCTTCTTCACACTTCAGCTGCGTGATCAAGTGATTCAATAATTGTGACTTATGTTAAATGATATTATACAGACGATATGTTTGCTTTGAGAGGAACTGCTCTCTTCATGTGTAGTGATTTAAAAACTGAGGAGTTTGCTCTGTCTTTGCCTTGAACCTAGAGGAATCTGTTTAATATCTGAAAAACACATTTTACATACATTCAGTTTGGATTTAACTGCCCTGTTATTTCACAATATTACCAATTCACAACCAGGCTGTGCTCAGAAGGTCGTTCTTAAGTACAAGTCCAAGACAACTACAACACAAGTGGATGAGATTAAATCTTTTAGCTTACAATGTTTTGCTTGAATAGAATTCTCCATCAGTGTTTACTTTTTTATATTTTTAATTTCAGACATATTGAGGATAAATCTTTTTCAGTAAAGGAACTTTCAAGCAATACTTTACGACACAAGTCAGCTTGTTCTCAGTCATGAAGTCATAAATTATGTTCTGTTCGTTAACGTTTTGTGTCTGTGTCCAGATTGAGGAGAGGCAAGCCTTGGCGGGAGGCTCCAACGACACCAGCTGTGTGTTCCTGGTCAACCAGCCTTACGCCCTGATCTGTTCTGCTGTGGCTTTCTACGTCCCGTTGGCCCTCATGGTCCTGGCCTACCAGCGAATCTACGTCACTGCCATGAGCCATGCACGACAGATCGAGACGCTGCAACGCGCCGGCTCTGCCCCCATCTCTGGGACAGCTCCGGTCATCACTGTGAGGTCCTCCACTTCCTCGGATCCCTCAGAGCACTACCGTCTTAGGACAACAATGGTTTCCTCCTCTTTGGAGCAGGCTCCCATAGCGAACAGCCGCATGCGTGTTGAGACCAAGGCGGCAAAGACGCTGGCAGTTATAATGGGTTGTTTCTGCTTATGCTGGGCGCCGTTCTTCATTACCAATGTGGTGGACCCCTTCATTCATTACTCAGTGCCCTGGCAGCTGTGGACAGCCTGGCTGTGGCTCGGGTACATTAACTCGGGATTGAACCCGTTTCTGTACGCCTTCCTGAACCGAGCGTTTCGGAGGGCGTTTCTGATGATCCTGTGCTGTGGGGACGAGCGGTATGCACGGCAGGGAAGCTGCTCCTATAGACAAACCCATAGACCATGCTCCCCCCCATCAGTCAACGGCACATCTATGGCACTGAGGTAAGTTTCTGTGAATTTTTGCTTCTTCCATTGCGATAAAGCCAGTGAGGCAGATGGGTTTTCCTAAACATGCTTCATGTTCCATTTGTGTTTTGGCTGTAAAATTAATATTTGACTTTGCACGGTTGACCTGTTGAAACAGAAGACACGGTACTGTAATGTTATCATCACAATGAGGGTACAGACATTTTGTCATTAGATGCACGTGTGAGTAAATAGGATCTGGGAGAGCGTGTATACATTTGTTGTGTAGCTGCCGTTTCTGTTAAAAGTCCATCAAAGAAGAAATCAAGGCCTCAGCTCGGGAACGAGGCTAATTTTTCTCTCCCTTCAAAGCCATGTGTCATACCCTTAAGTGTAAATAATAGATGTGGACATGCTGTGTCTCATCTAGAAATTATATTCACTGTCAAACCAGCCTCAGTGCTCTGCACACTGAATTTGGATATTGATTTTAGCAGGAAAAAATTAAAATAGTCCCGGACTATGACTCCTAAAGGAATAAATTCAATCATCATATCAGCTATTTGATTCTGCTGCTCAGGAAATATGACGAAAGGTATATTTAGAAAATAAAACCAGTGCTGTAACCTGCATTTTGACATAAGTGCAACATGTTTTTCAAAATGATCTTGATTGTTTTTTAACTTTCTTGTAACACATAAACCTGCATCGTAATAAGGAACAGCTGCAGCTGGATGAAGACATGAGGCAACACTTAAAATATTTACTTTAGCAATTCATCTTCCCTTCAGAATAAAAGCAGTGACTTGAATCCAAAGTCTTCATCATATTTTATTCAGGCTTTTGTTATGTTAAGTAATGAATATTGAAATGTTTCAGTGGAAGCATGTATTTTTCATAGAGAAGCGACATGGCTCGAGCAATGTCAGTCTGTTGGTTCACAACGTAGAGTATATAAAAGATGGACGACATGCACTTCCCAACAGAACATTATCTTGATAGCCCCCTGGTGGCTGGCTGCAGTATCTACCCCGCCTCCTCCATGTTAGCAGATGGGTTTGGTTTGATCAGTTACACTTTAATTAGTTATTTGATGCTAAAAACAGACGGACTTGATTGTTCGAGTACAGGTATCGGTGCTGATTGAAGTACATCACCAACCATAAACTGCAATGTCAAGTTGTTTTTCTGAGTGAAGAGAGCGTTCTGAGGTGTTGAAAGATTAAAGAAGTTCTGGTGGAATACATTTAAGTTTTCCAAAGTTTTGGATTGGTGTCTTTAATGGAATTTCAATGTATAATATCCCATAATAGTCCAACAGGCTCCTTAAAGTGGGTTAATGATGGTGGTGTAGCTGATGTCTGTGTTTGTGCTCCTTCGAGTGCGGAGGATGATGGAGGAGGTGACCTGCTTGTGTCTGCACTGTTTAACTTTAACACAAGTACTTCGCCTCCGGATAGAAACAATAACGATCACACACACACACACACACACACACACACACACACACACACACACACACACACACACACACAGATAGATACACAGCTGATCATTTATTTCATACAGAATATGCACAAGCTGAGGGATGAGAGTGGGACTGTGGTGTGATGACATGTGATTGTCTCACGCTTGTATACTCGACACATACAGTAGAGAT